ACACCTCCCGGCGGGGCCCCGAGCGCGGTAGCGCCGGGATGTGGCCGCGCCTGGGCCCGGGCGACTCGGAGCGCCCTCGGCTCCTCCGGTGCCTGCGCGGGGCAGCCCCTCAGGTTAACAGACCGCCCAGAACTCTCGAATCGATGAAGCAGGGAAATTCCTAGGAAATTATTTCCGTCGTAGCAATTGTACTTTGAACACCGGGTCTTGCATGTGTTTCAAAACATTGTAAATAACTCTATCAGTGGTTAAGGACATGAACAGTTCTGCAAAAGTGTTCTTACAGAATGGTGAACGGGCTTTGCATAATCCACGCGTTTCATGTTTTGTTTCAGGAGTGCAGTAAAAAACAGAAAAATGATGATACGCAAAGTACATCTGTTGATGCATTGAGTTCAAATGATGGCTCTGAGGAGGTAATGTTCCTTCTAAAAGCTGTGTTAGACTCTATATTCTTTTGTTTTGTGCACCCCAAAGGGGGTTATAAGGAGACAACTTTCAACTAAGTGTAACAATAAACAACAAGCAGTCGAAAACAATTATGAGCTCTTACAGACACCCCTTAATATGTGAATCAAAAATCTTGTAAAAAGGTGCAATAAAAGCCCTTACTACGCAAACACAGAACAGAAATTCTAAGTTCTAAAAATTTGCCAAAATGCCAAATTTCTTACATCAAGTCTTCAGAACAGAGAGCTTATAAGAAGAGTTTTGATAGTACAAGTGGACAGACTATCTACTTTTTCTTTATATCCAAGTACAAAATATTCCCTCTTCTCAGATGAGCTGCAGTTAGTGTCGTAGCCAGGAGTGTGAGACTCTTGATCTCACAGAATGTTTCCAGTGGGACTGTGTTCTCTTTGTTTTACCTCGTGGTACAAAGCCTAAGCCACCTTGCTGTTAAAGGGACATCTGGTTAAAGAGCTTTAATAGTTCAAGGGAAAATTTTCTCAGTTACTTGGGGAGTTGATGAGGACTGTCAGTTCTGAAGCACAGTGCAAATTAAGTTACTAGCATATGGACTAGGGGCTAAATTTAGATTTTTGTTTACACTTAAACATTTTGCAGTTTCACAGTAATAGGAGGAGCAGAGCTATGACTGGGATGGAACATATTATTTTGTTTACCTGTAAATAACCTTGGATATTATGCAAGTTTCATGGATTGTCCTGCTTTAAACTCAGTAGTGTTACTGTGTTTGCTTTTCATCTAGCTTATTGCAGAGATCTTAAAAATTATTTGATCATTATTAAATACTTGTTTACTTTCTTTTTCTGCCACCAGAAAAATGAGTTTGATACATTGGCTAATGCTAAAATACTCCTTAGCGACTGCCTAGCTTGTGATAGTTGCATGACATTGGAGGAAGGAGCCAGAGTTTTCCAACAGAATCAGAAGGAGTTCTTTCGTGTTCTCAACCTTAATAAGGTAAAGTGACCCAAACAATAACCCACTGTTTTCTGTGAGGAGGAGGCAGTCACAGAATGACTAAGCAGCCTGGTTTCCCAAGGCAGATAACGTGAAGATTTGTCAGGATATTCTTTTTCTAAAGAGGAAGTGAAAACTTTAGGCAGCTCAAACGTTAAAGTACTTTAAATAATTTTGTACTGGAGTTGAGGTCACAGCACTCAACGTAAGCACCAGAGGGAAGTTACTGCACCTGCAGGAGGAAAGTTTATTGGCAATGTGATGATTTCATTACTGCACTAATAAATTATTCTGTAGTTCAGTGTTTATAGATACTCATACCTTCATTGCTAGGACTGTTCTGGATGGTTTTTGGTGCTCATGTATCCACAGTATACAAACCT